GGGGGGGAGCAGGGGGGAGGCAGGACCTCAGGCCGTGAACTCTAAGGCAGCCCCACCCACCCTTCTCCGTGGGACCATTTAGCAGTTCTCCCGATCTCCTGTCTTCGGAGGCTGAGGCGCCTCCTCTAGTTAAGAGCCACCCTCCCGCTTGGAACACACTTGGATCTTGTCCGGTGTTGTGAGCGAAGCAGGCTTGGGGGCCAGTTAGTCTAGGGGTCAAGAGGCCACCCAGGCCTGTAACCCTCTCTTCCTGTCCTTCCCAATCAGGTGTTATGGTGTGAGTTGGGGGGGGAGAGCAGCTGAAAATTTCTCCCATGACGGCCCCCGAAAAGCTTGAGTTTCTGTGACTGCAGCTTTTTGTGGCTTTTTCTTTGTCTAGCGGGGGAAAGGAAACCCTGACTCACTGGGGCAGGAAGTTGGATGTTTTGACTCTGGTTTTCTCCACTGCTGTGAGCTAGCTGGTTTTATGTAGCTGTGCTGGTGAGACATCTCTCAGAACACCTACTGTTTTAAGAGGAGCGGATTGCTCTGAATTCCTTAATTAGAAAACAGTAAACATATGATAGGTTTGAGAGGGTAAAAAAAAACCCAAGAATAATCCTTTAATATTTTAAGCCCTTGTGCTCCTGCTGATATCCAGAGGGGGTTGTAGTTTGTAGTTTCTGTTTTTGCTCAGAGAGATGGGGACTCAGCATCCTTGCTCCGTGGATTCTCAGTAGGTGGTGCTCTCTTGAGGTCTTCCACGTTGTCTGAGCAGAGCCTCGCGCATTAAATAAATGCAAACCAAACAGAAATGGAAAACATTTTTTTTTGGCAAATGAAAATAAGTTCTCCGTTTCCCAGTAATTCTAAAACTTGCAAAGACTTTATAGACTTAGATTTCTTTGGTCTTTGAACGACGTTATGCCCATCCGATTCCGTCTGGGTTGAGGAATCTAGCAGAGTTTGATGTTCAGAGCCTTGAACGTTCCGGCTGAAATCGCCTAATTAACTGGGCCTAGTTTTCTTTCTGATTATGCAAATGTTTAAAAAAAACAGAATCAACAGGATGCAAAAGACTCGGCCCCACCCCTTGGACTGTTACGTCTTTGTTTTTCCTCATACGTACATCCAGTAGATTGACTGATCATCTCAAGGGGGCTCTGACTCAAATGTTCTTAGTTAGGTGCATCCCGCCTCCCTAACCTGCCTTGCTCAGCCGAAGCTCTGCTTCCACCTTCTCTTTTACGCCAGGCCTCTGAGGTTCTGTCTTCTGGTTCCTTTCCAGCACGACACCATCTTTGGGATCCTAAACAAAGTGAAGCCTCCCTACAAGTCCTGCGCCAATTGCATGTACTCCTCCCTGGGAGCCCCTGCGGATGCTTTTGGGGAGCCGCACGACAGCCTCCACCCCGCCCCTCTGTGCCGCAGTGCTGCGGTCTGCACGCAGCCCGCCTTCCTCCCGCCGGGGCCCCCTGCATTTCTGGACCAGCCGTTCAACGTGTCTCCACTTAGAGAGATCCGTGGAGCCAAAACCAACAGCTTGTCTTCTGCGCTGGTGGGGAGCAACCCACCCGTGCAGGAGAGCAGTCCCGGGAAGCCTGAGCCCACTTGGCCCAACTGTGACGCTTCTGAGAAACCCAAAGACACACCAAAAACGCCCGCCGGTGCCTGGCTTGGCCCCAGACCTTCCCTCTGCGAAAGGAGCCCTTCCCTTCCCGAGGAGTCAAAAGAGGACGCATCGCAAAGGAAGGAGCTCCGACAGACCAAGGACCTGAAGTGCTTCCTCTTCAGCAGAGATCTAGAGAAACCCACCACCAACAGCTACCTGATGCAGCACCAGGAGTCCCTCCTCCAGCTTCAGAAGGCAGGCTTGGTTCGGAAGCACACGAAGGAGCTGGAGAGGCTCAAGAGCTTCCCGGCAGAGACCCCTGCCCAGGTGAGGGAAGGGCCGGGGGGCTCAGCTGACACAGCCATCCCCGAAGAAGGCCCGGAGCTGACGGCCCATCCCCAGGGACCGTGGCCTTCGCTTCCGGAAGACGCTGAGGGCGGCCTCAAGAAGCCGCACGCAACCCCTGCGCCAAAGACCTCCACGCCCGTCGCGCCGGCCCCGAGCAAGGCGGACCACATGAGCAGCTTCACGAAAGACTTCCTCAAGACCATCTGTTACACCCCGTCGTCCTCCAGGAGTTCCAACCTGACTCGGAGCTCCAGCAGCGACAGCATCCACAGCGTCCGCGGGAAGCCCGGCCTGGTGAAGCAACGGGCTCAGGAGATCGAAACCCGGCTGCGACTGGCCGGCTTGACCGTCTCCTCTTCCTTGAAACGTTCCCACTCTCTTGCCAAGCTGGGGAGCCTCAACCTCTCCTCGGAGGACCTCTCGAGCGAGCTGGACCTCTCTGCGCCGCTGCCGGACTCCAGAGAAGCCCAACCGAGGGAGCCCGTGGGGCCCTGTGACTTCCGCTTATTTTCCAAGAACGCAGGAGGGGGACCCAAACCCTTGGCTAAACCCACCCCAGGGAAACTGAAGGCTGTGCCTTGGCTGGAGAAAAGCTGACCCGTTTGGCATCTTCTTTTTTTCTCCATTTCTTTTCTTTTTTAAAAAAACTTATTTTTCTTCTGTGCTAAAGGCAATTTTATCGTCTTTGCGGGGGGGGGGAGGAAGAAGCGGAAATTCAACCCTCTTTCCCTTCGGGTGTTGCAAGCAGAAGGGGGTTGCAAAGGGGAAGGGTTCTCAGACAAGGGCAAACAGCCCAAGGAAGAAAAATAATAATAATAAGGAATTTGTTGCTTCCTGGTTCGGAAGGTCATTCTGGGTATCACATGGCCTCTTGCGTCTTCTAGAACGATCCAGCGGCACCCCCTCTCCCTACATGCTGAGAAACCTCCTGGTTCCAAAGAGCAGCCGGGTTTTCCTTCGCTGCCCGAGCAGAGCACAACGGTTTGGGTCCAAGAGGCCCCGGTTGAAGGAACTGACGAGGGCCACGGAAACACGCTACCTCCATTCTCCATGTTATTTATATTTATCCTAGATGTATAAGATACGAATAGTTGGGATTTTTCAAAATCTTGTCCTGAAGTTGCTATGTTTAAGGAAAAAAAAACGAAACAAAACACTGACTTTGATCAGACAATAACCTGCAATATTTTTTTCTGTAAAGACCCCAGTTGCTAGGGTTCATTTTTAAGGCACTGAGCAGGGTTTGGAAAAGTTTGGGATTTTTGGACCCGGAATCCCAGATCCGCCCTCTGCCATCACCCCCACCACCCCAGAATGTTGGCTGAAGGCCTCCGGGAGTCATCATCCCAAAACCGGAATTTTCTTTCCGAGCTGCAAGACTGGCAGGTTTCTAGGCTGGGTTTCTAGAGTCTTCGCTTGTTGAGCTGAACCAAGGTTTAAGTTCATCCTGTAAAGAGGGCTGATGATTACAAGACGTGCTATTTTCCATAGGATTTCGTGAATACACTTGGCAGCTTTCCCATTGTTGGGTTCCTGAGGGGGATGAGGAGTCCGAGTCTGTATGCTACAGAGTTAGAGCCGTTGGGTTGCATTTTAACCGCCACGGCTGCATCTGAGAGAAGGCTGGGTTTTGTAAAATTGGGGGGGACCTGAGAATTCTCTGCCGTTGTTCCAGGGAGGGCAGAAGAGCTCTCCTGCGGAGAATTCAGACACGCTCACAAAAATGCAGACCTTAGGGATGGAGCCGTGACAGTTTAAGAGGCATCAAGCTGCCCTAACTGGTGTAGATGCACCTCTTGCTAGAAAGGTGTTAAATGGTATTCAGTTCGGTTGCCTTCCAAGACTGAAATTCATTCTAAAGCTCTTCTTAATATCTCTGGTTGCTGGTGAGAACCCGTTGAATAAGGCTGGCAACAGTGAAACATTGTTATGGGGCGCATTACTGTTTATGTACACTTGAAATTGGTGGGGGGTGTTGGTGCAGGATGAACTGCTAGCCCTCCTTCCTTTTAGTTCTAAGTTTTATTTTTTTTATAAGAAAAAGGTTTTTTTCCCCAGTTCATCGCAGGACAACGCTAAGTTCTGGGGGGCTTCAGGAACAGGTTGGGATCTGTGACAACCTCTGCAGCGGTTGCGAGGCCTCATTGATGCGGGTCGGGTCCTTCCCTGGGTTTTGATCGCCACGGAATGGCAGGGGGAAGGGCATAGAGGAACCCCAGTCAGTTCTTTTGAGCTCTTTCTCCTGAGGGTGTATCTTGCCAGCCACCAGATGGGGCTCGGGTGACTCGAAGGGCTTGTTTTCTTCAAACTGCGCTCTTGCTGCTTGCTCAAATAGGTGTGTGGACATAAGTCACCGGAGTTGGAGACCACTGGGGCTGTTCTGAGCCCTTCCTTAGAGTTCAGTGAGAATGCTCTTCTCAGGAGCTCTGGGGAGAACGCCTCTGAACCGCTGTGGGGGATGCTAGGGGATTTCTCCAACCACAGGCCCCAGGATGGCTCTTAAACGTGGTCTCCAGCTGCTGTCAGCGTGTCGTGGGAGACACTGTCAAGGGCTCAGCTGAAGAGACTCCGGTGTGGATCGTGATCGACGTGGTCCTCTCCAATGTCCGGTGTTCGTCGTGAACATTCGCATCTGTCGTATGCATTTCTCTCAGCCCCTCTGGTGAAGAACAGATTTTGAAGAAAAATCGTAATACTATATAGGTACTTGAGGCCAAATTTAAGACGTCCGTACTGTACTAATGTTGGTGTCATGATGGAGGTTTTGAGTCCATTGCGAGTTTGAAATGTCGTCCGTCTTTGCTGCCTTTTGTCATGTGCCTGCGTAGCTGGTTTTGGGGGGAAAAAATGTGTGTGATGTCGGGAATGGTGGTTTTACCGATGAGAAGAGCTGCTTTTTCTTTTCTTTAAGGAGCCAAAGACCAAAAATTTCTTAAGCGCCGTGCAGTGGGGGAGAGATAGGAAAACTCTTCACACCCTAGAGCCACACCTTCGGATTGGAGTTGAGAATTCTCTCCTGAGTTGTGTTTCATCTGCAATCGACCCGTCGTCCAGGGCCTGGGAGGGCGTCTCATCTCCCAGCATGGCTCCTGCGCTGTAACTCCCATCATCCCTAGCCAACCCTACCGATCTGAAGGCCCTCTGGGGCACGAGGTGCCTCAGTTTCCCGGTGGCCATGATCCCCAGCAGCTCCTTTGCTGACAAGCTGGTTCAGCCCAGGGTGACCCTTATGGGTGCCCATCTCCTCCCTGTTACCTCTGGCTTCATTAATTGAGGAAGTGGGCCGTTCTTCCCCTACCGTCGCTACTTGCCTACCTGGCATCGTAGCCGTCCTTTTTCAGAGTTCACGACTCCTGCAGGGATGTGGCCTTGAAGCCATTTCCACGTTCCTTGTTTCTTTTTAAATTGGTTCCCATACCGTCGCTACTTGCCTACCTGGTTCCCCCAGCATCGTAGCCGTCCTTTTTCAGAGTTCAAGACTCCTGCAGGGATGTGGCCTTGGAGCCGTTTCCACGTTCCTTGTTTCTTTTTAAATTGCCCCCGCTGAAAGGCTACTGAACGACATGCATATTTGATTGCCATCTTTCCGCCAAAATGGGGAGGTTTGGCTACTCCTGCTTCCAGCCACGCATGGGGTGCTGATGGCCATTACGAAAAAGGAGGTGGTACCCCCCTCCCTTCTTTTTCTTCTTCTGTCTCCCCATTTCTGTCGCAGAAGTGAACCTTCAGCCTGGCTCCTGGTTTTCCCTTTAGCGACCTGCATCCTTCCTTTCTCTTGGCTCGTGTCACCTTTTGAAGGCGTTTCTCCATCTCTGGAAGAAGCACCGACAGTTGGTGTTTTACTTCTGATAGTCCTGTGGGCCTCCCGAAACACTGAAGAGCAATATATATATATATATTCATCAGGGCATTAAAATCTGCCAAGCACAGTACCTTGTGAAACCCTAACAAAAAGGGGGTTGTACTCACATATCTTTGAAGGGGGGGTGTTCTGTTCAAGAGTTCTGATTTCTCCTATCTGGCATTTGTTAATGTACGTTGTGCCACATTTTGGAAGATCAGAATACCTAGAAAGGCTCCACCTTGAAGGTGGAACACATTGGAATAAATAATCGTATTCATTAATTGCCCTTAATTTCTCTTGGAGTTAGCTGGTGAAAGGACTGTGTGTCCAGTCCTGTTCCTCTCCTGACCGTTGCCCTTTGCAGGAAGTGAAAATTATAAAAAAATCCGTTTAATGGGCCAAATGTTCCCTCGCCCCACCTCTTTATTCGGGGGGGGGGAAGTTTGCTCCCTCTTCAAAAGAAGGCAAAACCCCTCTATCTCAGGTCAACATTGTCCTTTTAAAGAAAGCAAACAAAATATTTGAAAGCAAATGTTTTTAAGCCGATGCAACTTGTCTAGGCTTTATCATGCCACTTCAAAGGTGTTTTTTTTTGTTGTTTTTAATTCCCCAGAGAACCAGGAACTGTGCCAGTATGTCTGGGCCGATGCATGAAATGATAGCTGTTTTATTTTGCTCCATGCATTAGTGGTCTTTTTTTTCCCTTTGTCTTTTTTTTTAAAAAAAATTGAGTGCCTTGCAAATAGTTTACAAATACTGTGTATTTATGTGAAGCTCTGCTCTATTGGTTTCAGTACCATCAGTGTTTGTGATGCCAGTAAAGGTCTGTATATTATACTTTTGGTATATGTATGTATGTACCTATATATCATGCTCGGTTTACCCTGTCATTTGGGAATAGCTAATTAGTCTTCCGTTTGTTATTTGAGATGGTATAAAAATGTTTTCGACATCGCTAGGGTGTTGTTGTTGTTTTTTTCACTTAAAGAAATAGCTGATCCTCTTTCCACATGTTTAATCTATGCAGTGATAAAGGCACATGAGGATGTTTCCAGGGGCTCCTACCCCTAATCTGTTCCTCACCAGGAGGACATGGAGACGGGTTCTATGTCAGAGAGGAAAGAAAAGCAAGCAAGAAAAAGAAAGTAAGTTAGTATTTTCCTCTGTTTTCAATCCAGGTAGCCTTGAGGATTCTATTGCCGATGTAAGGTGGGTGATCCCACCGGCACATGAATCGAAGTCTGACATTGCTAGACCTGATTAACACTTGCCCTTCCTTGTGTTCACACCTTCCAGGTGGGTTCAGCTACAGCTCCCATCATTCCCAGCCCTCGTCCATGACGGCTGGAGAGGGTGGAGGTTGCCGTCTGACCCAACCGGAGGGGAGACCTACCGTGCGCTTTGGCCAAGGTGGTTGAGGGCTTTAGGCTTCTCCCTGTGCTCCCCCCTCCTCCGCTGCACGTCGAAAGGGAGAGACCTCAGGAAAGGAAGGCAGAACCCCATCCTGAGCATGGGCTGAGGAAAGAATCGCCAATAACCACCACCACCACCATTGGGGGGGGGGAACAGACTTTATTTTTTGAACACCAACTCCCAGAATCCCCCAGCCAGCCATAATAAAGACCGCAACACTCTTCTACCTGCCATCCTTGGTTTCCTGAGGCTGGACTGCAAAGCCTGGGGGACGTGCCCTTGTTGAATAACACCTTGGGGGGGGGGAGGTGTGCCGTTTGTCTGTTTGATTGACTCCAACTTCCAAAATCCTTCAAGAATTCCCTACACCTACAGGCACGTCTTCCTTTCACTCACCTGGAACAGGGCTGACTTTGTGTTTCCTGTTGTTAATTGGGTTTAAAAAACAAACAAACCTGCCTGGCCTGGTGGTCACCAGAAGACCTCGGTGGCCTTTGGGAGGTGCTGTCTGGGGAGCCTAGTGGGCAGTGAGACTCCAGCTCCCACGAAG